GAATTCACGCAAGGTTAAAGCAATGCAAAGTGGATGGTCAAGCACTTTCACCTGATGTTTAAGAAAAGCTGGTGAGGGAAAATCCACCAAACGTTGTGTTTGGTTAGGAAATTTAAAAAAAAAAATAGAAAAAGAAAGAAAAAAAATAGGTAAAATATAAATAAAATATGTTTACATTTTACTTAATGAAATATGTTTGGGAGCACTAATTAGTGCTCCCACTAATTAGGTGGCAGTGGGTCCCGCCATTAATGATGTGATGTTTTGGTCTTGGAGTTTTTTTTTTTTTTTTTTTTTAACTTTTTTAATGCATTAGTGCTATTAGTGGTGATGTTTTTAGTGGGATAAATCATTGTTGTTACTTAATTTCATGTATATTTTCTCTTTCTTTTTTTAAATCTTTCAACCAAATACAATATAAAAGAGTCTTCAAGATCAAAGGCAGTGACCATTGCCCTTTCTTTTCAAACCCACACTCCATAAAATTTTGCTCCAAATTGCTCAAATCCCATAGCTTAAATTTCTCAAGTCTTTATTTTTATTTTTTTAATTTTTACTTACAAGATCATAGGAAAGATACCTTATTTGATTGCTTAAAATGGCTGTACAATACAGAATCGGCCTTGAGGTAAGGCTATTTAGGTTTGTGCCTTCGCCTAAAAAATTGGCCCAAAATAGGATATCAAATTTAGAAAAGTATTATAGTATATTACAAAGGGTATGGCTTCCGTCTAGTCCGGAATCGGACTAGACTGTGCTGTTGGGCCTGTGGGGACCCACCACGGGTCCTGTTTTGATAATCTGAACCGTTTTAATGTGTAGAACTTGTCAAGTACTATATGCCTACAAAAAATCATGTTGATCGGATATCGATAGCTATATGATCAAATCAGTTTCATATTAAAAAATTAGACGGTGAACAAATTAACGATTGACAAAAAACTGTTTTGATCACATAGCTATTAATATCTGATCAACGTGATTTTTTACAAGAATATAGTACTCGACGAGTTCTACACATTGAACGGTTCAGATTATCAAAATGAGACCCGTGGTGGGCCCTCACGGGCCCAACAGCACGGTCCAGTCCGATCCCGGACTGGACAGAAGCCATACCCTATTACAAATATAAATAAGTCTAAATTATTTTTGTCATTTTAGGACCAATTTAAAGGATTCAAAAATATTTTGTTAAGCCCTTATTTGTTTATAAGTGTGGTTTGACCTAATTGAAATTAAAATATATACAAAATATTGGTGGCCTTTGATTGAAAAAATTAAATACACATACAAAATATTAGTGGTCTAAAATAGGGCCCCTGATTTTTTTTTCTTTATCAGATTTTAATGGAATAAATAAATTTACCCTTTTTTTTTTACTTTTCTTGTCTATCAGATTTTAGTGGAATAAACAATTAATTCAATATTAATCATATTCATACACAATATATTCAATAAACAATAATTCAACCACACTCATAAACAACATATTCAATAAACAACCATTAATTCAATACATATCCAATACATTTTAATTGAATAAAATTTTCCTAATTTTGGTTTTTTTTTTTAATATGAATACAATTTGATATCTATTTCGGTATCAATCGACGGTAGTGATACGAAATAGGGTGATTTTTTTTTTCTTTGTAAATATAAGCCTCCATTTTTGTTTCGCCTTAGGCCCCCCAAAAACTCAGGGCCGGCGCTGAATGTGAGAGGCCATAATATAAATAGGTGCTGCTTTCTTCCTATTGTTCTCTAATTTTCAAATATGAATATGAATATAGGAAGGGTTTTTACATCCTTTTCTATTCAAGGGAATATCATTGTTGAATGAGAATGGTAAAGCCCCCGTTTGGCATCTAAAGTTGGGAGGTTACCAGGTTAAAATATGAAGTATTAGTCTAAGATCCCTCTTCCATTTTTAGTAATGGAAAAGATCCACGATATTATTTTATGATGTCTAAAGTCCCTCAACCCCACACCCATATATCATAGAGAAATTTGACTCTCTCTCTCTGCGATCTTCATTCTAAGGCAAGTTCATTTCTCTCTCTCTCCAAATAAAACCCTCTCTCTCTCTTTGCTCCTTTTTTCTCTCTCGATCTTCATCTCTGACAGCACCACCATCACCCCAACATTACCGTCCCGTTGTCAGCAATGGAGGTCGCCACCATGGCCTCACACTTCTTCCTCACCACCGTCACCACAACTCACATGCTATCTTCATCTACCAACCGAACCCTAAGTTGGTCCTCTTCCAAAGTTTCTCTCTCCTCCAATTTCCTCTCTCCCTTCGTCACCGATAGTGTCTCTGGCGATTTCTCCAACTAAAAGCTCTGCCCCGTCTCTCTTAACCCCTACTCCAGCTTTCAACCTAAAAAAGGTGTCGTCACCATGGTACTGTTCCCAAAACCCACAAATTTGCATCACCTTCTTTCTTATCTAGGGTTTTTTCAATTTTCTGATATATATATATATATATATATGCATATGCATATTATGTTTGTATCTATTATATAAAGCTCTAATCTAGAAGTTCCTTCATTTTCAATTCAACATTTTTTACTTTGTTCGTTTAATAGTAGCATCTATTATATATCTTGCTCTCCTTCGTACAGGCCTCGATCCAACTCTCTTCTGCCATTGAAGTTTGAAGAAAAAAAAAATATCTATCTTTGATTTGTATTGCGAGTTTGATTTGATTTCTTGGGGAAAAAAAAATTCCACCTTTTTGTTAGTTGATGTCCTGTTTGGTTTCTATTGAAATTGAGAGAGCCATTCATGAATCAGCAAATTATTCTTTGAGATATTGTAGAGCTGATTATAAATTATCTAGCTTTTTGAAGCAAATTCCAAGTTTCAGAAATCAACTGACAATTTTCTGGCCTATTGCTGGTTATATATTTATTTTGTTGTTGGATAAATGGTAGTTGTTCAATTTTCTCTGGTTTGTTGTTGTTTAATTTTTTCTAATATATTGTTGCATGAATGTCTTACAGTCTAGAGAAAATTGGTCAAAATAGTGATAGTTCAATTTTCTCTGGTTTGCTGTTGTATGAATGTCTTACAGTCCAGAGAAAATTGGTCAAAATGGTGGTTGTTCAATTTTCTCTAGTTCGTATGAATGTTTTACAATTCAAAGAAATTGGTCAAAATGATGTTTGTTCAATTTTCTCTAGTTTGCTGTTGTATGAATGTCTTACAGGCCAGAGAAAATTGGTCAAAATGGTGGTGGTTCAATTTTCTCTTGTTTGTTGTTGTTGTTCAATTTTCTTTAGTTTGTTGTTGTATGAATGTCTTACAGTCCAGAGAAAATTGGTAAAAATGGTAGTTGTTCAATTTTATCTAGTTTGTTATTGAGTGAATGTCTTACAGTCTAGAGAAAATTAAACAACAAAAAACCAGAGAAAATTGGAAAAGTGCCACACAAATTTTCTCTAGATAGAGCCGCACAAAGCCACACAAATTTTTTCTAACACAATTTTCTCTAGATAGAGCCACACAAAGCCAGACAAATTTTCTCTAACACAATTTTATCTGGATAAAGCCACACAAATTTTCTCTACACAATTTTCTCTGGATTTCTTTAGTACTCAAAGAAAATTAGTCAAAATGGTGGTTATTCAATTTTCTCTGGTTTGTTATTGTCTAAATGGCTTACAATCTAGTTTGATAAAAAACATAGAAAATTATGAGTAAATCAGAGAAAATTGGTCAAAAACACAGAGAAATTCTCTGTGAAGAATTTCTTTAGAGGGAAAATCTATGGGTGATCTAGAGAAATTCTCTCAGAAGTGCAAAGAAATTCTCAAGTCGAATTTTCTCTAGATCGATGTTGAGGAACCTTAGACATTATGAAAATATTGAGTGTCCTTTATGTTATAAAATCTTAATACTAGGGACCTTAAAAAAAATCCCTTTAAAATAATCATAAAAAAACAAAATATGTTAAAAAGTTAATAAAATAAAATGTCATATTCAAATTATAATCATTTTATTTTTTCTCTCACAAAAGTAAAAAAAAGTTAAAAAACTCATCCCAAACAAAATTTTTTAATTCTAAATTAAAATAGTCAAAAAATTAAAAAACCAACTCAGTAATCAATAGCTATTCGCTACTTGCTTGATTTATTTATTTATTGATTTTTTCAAAAGAAAAGAATAATTTAACTCAATTGATAAGACTTCTGGTTAATATTCTTAATAATGCAAATTCAAGTTATGAAAACAATTTTTTCAAAGTATGACCTATATCTTATTATCTTTAAGTAAAAGGCTGATGCGCCAGGTAGAGGCTTTCGCTATTATCGTAGGAAGAATAATTGATGATGCATGGATAGGAAGAATAATTGATGATGCATGGACTGATCCGAGAGGAGAATCAAGATCCTCTCTTTCATCTCTCCCCTTAACTCTTTATTTATTAGGTTAATGAATTTATTTTTGGGATCAATTTCGATGATCCAAACCGTTTACATTTTAAGATTTGTTGAGTATATCAAACCTGTAAAAAATCAAGTTGATCGGATATCAAAAACTACGTGTTCGGTTCATCGAACTACAAATAATTTTAAAAAAAAATTAATAAACAATTTTTCGAACACATACTTTCTGACATCCGATCAACTTGATTTTATACCTCAACAAATCTTAAAGTGTGAATGGTTTGGATCATCGAAATTGGACTCAAAAGTAGGCGCAATGACCTAACAAGTAAGGAGTTAAGGAGAGAGATGAAGGAGAGGATCTTGATTCCCGGGAGGAGGGGTGAGGAAATGAATAGCCAACCAACCTCATTATGGCGTTGGCCATCCATAGCGATGTTTTGAAAATTGGATCGTTGATCACATATATTAAATTAAGGTTTAGTTTAATCATTGAGTCAATTACAATTAAATTAGCGTGTCATAATTAATTTATATATTTAAAATTATATATCAATAAACAATGAAGATAATTTCGGAGACAACACGGAGAGAAGCAAAATAGAGGGGGACAAAAAGTTGAAGAGGTATATTCACTTAAACATACAAGACTTTCTGGCTTCCAATTCAGTTCTGTCAAATAATAGCTACACTGCTACCACTTTAACAATCAAAGTGACCAGAAGCATTAAGTGTATTATTATATTACACTGATAAAACAGTTTTAAAACAAAAAAGGGAAAAGAATTTATTTTAAACAGTGAATCCTAAAATCTTGACAAGAATGACAATAATCCACCCCCAGAAGAAGAATTTTTAGGCATTGGTTTGTTCAAGAAATGGATAATCAATATAACCAACAACAGGATCAGGAATATAGAAGGTCTCTCTATTGTACTTGTTAAGAGGAGCATTGGGCTCAAACCTCCTTGGCAAATCCGGATTCGCCAGAAACAACCGACCATATGCCACAAGATCCGCATGGTTCTCTGCCACGGCTCTCATACCTTCTTCTCTGTCATAACCTCCTGCAGCAATGAAAGTGCCCTTGAAAGCCTTCCTCATTGGCAAAAGCTTGTCGGGGCATTCAAATTTTTCTCCAACAGTTTTCACTCTAGGCTCAAGCATGTGGCAATATAGAATCCCATATTTATTTAATGATTCCGCCATGTAAAGACCTAGAGCTTTTGGATTTGAGTCCCCGGATTCCATGTAATTTGCAAATGGAGAGAGCCTAATTCCAACTTTATCAGCTCCTATCTCATTGACAATGGCTTCAACGATTTCGAGTGCAAATTTGCAACGATTCTCCAAAGAGCCTCCGTACTTGTCGGTTTGGTCATTAATTTGGTCTTTCAGAAACTGTTCTACTAGGTAACAGTGAGCTCCGTGGATTTCAATCCCACCAAAACCTGCAAAAGAAACAAAAAAAGCAACCTGAGCTTCATTTGGTATGAGAAAAATCTGGTTCCTCAAGTTCTTACAGCATTTTTCAAAGAAAATGTCTCTTTTTATGATCTTGTAAATCTGACAATGCTTAATATTAATGAAAATATAGCCACAAACTTACCAGCTTCCATTGCATTCCTTGCAGCGAGTCTGAAATCATTAACAATTTGAGGAATTTCATCAGTCCTTAGCTTCCATGGAGGTGAAAATTGTGCAACATCAACACCATTAGTCAACGACTCGTCTGTAGAGGAGATTGGAGCTTTCCCATTTGGCTGAAAACCTGTACATAGTAATTGCTTAAGTTTAGAGAGAACCAAAATTGTTTTTATTTTGTTTTTATCAGTAAAAAATTACAAATTATATTCAAAAAGAGGCAGCTACCCGTAAACAAAGTGTAAAGAAAAACTGCTATACATATTTTCATCCAAAAATTGGTTCAAGGATGGATCAATCCCACCCAAAAACCAGCAGTAACAAAAATAGGAATCTCAACTCTGTCAAAATATTATCTATGCACCTCTTCAAGAAAACAACCACTTCCCAATCCCGACAAAACAAGATATCCCAAAAGACATATATTCCTCTTTCAGCCGCAATCCTAGCAGCATAAAAGAAAACATCTGGGAAACCATTAACCAAAACCAAAAACCAAAAACAAAACTGTAGAAATACATAACTGAATCCAGTCTCTCCACTTTTGGCCCAAACCCATCATAATTATCACATAACCAAGGAACATAATCAACATGGTTATAGGCCTTCTCAATGTCAATCTTGCAAATCAAACCCAGGGATCCACTTCTCAACCACGAATCCACTCATTTGTTAGCCACAACAATGTTCTGTGTTTTGTTACAGAGAATGTACATCTAGTTAGCTTCCTCCAGTGGAAAACTACTTCAAATCCTTATTTTCTAGGATATGGTAATCAAAGAGACCAAAACCTCAAAACACAACCATAATCAACATACATATCGAGTCTGTGCAACATAGTCCATGCATAGCTGACAAATGTAAACAGAAAACTAGAAGTTGAAATGTTGCCACAAATTCTACCACAAATGTTAGTTATGTTTTGCAAACAAAAAAGCTAAACAAGAAGCTAGAAACATTTCACTCAATGATTTTTCATTGTTATTATCAGTGAAATATTGTCCAATGATGAAAAAGATATTCAAATGGGGGCAAAAGTCAACAATATACCTTGATTTGAAACTCTTCCCACATGCCAAATCTGACAAAAGAATATACCACCCTTTGCATGAACAGTATCTACAATTGGTTTCCAGGCTTCAACTTGCTCCTTTGTCCATATACCAGGTGTAAATGGATATCTTCATTTGGAAAGAAAGAAGAATTAGTAATAGAACAAGAAGAAATGAAGACACTCACGCTTATTCACACAGATAGGCACACTCTTGCACACGGACATCTACATATTTTCCTTTGACTCAATAGAAAAGATTGAAATTGGCGAACTACTAATGTTAAAAAGTACCCTTGTGCAGTATCGGAAACCCCTGCGGCTTCGGAAATGAGAAGGCCTCCTTTGCTGGTCCTCTGTGAGTAATATAAGATAGCATGTGGTTGAGGAACGTTGTCAAAAGATCTCTGCCTAGTCAATGGCGCCAAGACAACTCCGAAAATTTTGCGGCAGAAAAAAAAAAAAAGATAAGAAAACTACATTAAGCATTTAGACAATGTGCTCCTCGTAAAGATGAACCTTGCGCTAATTAAGTTATAAAAGCTTCTTCAGAATTAAAAAACACGAGGCACACAAAAGAACCACCACTAAAACAAGAATGACATGACAAAAGTTCACAAAAATGTTAAGAATTTCATTCGATGATTAAAATTCAGTCACGATTAAAAAGAACTGACATGTCCAGATCAACAAACGAACTGCAGAGGGATTGTGTGTTGTGTCAGTTATAAGCTACAAAGACATACCTTTCATAAGTCTATATGGGATAATGAACTGAAAAGTTCAAAAGAAAATGACAACCAAATAAATGAAAACAAAGTCAAAAAATGAAGAGGAAAAAGAAAGCTACTCTTTAAATTTGCAGAGAATGCCTAAAAAGGAGTTGCGACCTTCCCATTTATCTGTCAGTGTATGAAACTAAGGGATATTTGTTTTCATAGATATCAGATGATTCTCCTCAAGCCCCTTAAAATCCCATAGAAAACCTCACTTCTTTCCTGTATTCTTGCTTTAAAAATAAAAATAAAAACAGAAAATTTTCTTGAATTCTTTTCCAATTGACGCATTTAATGATGATGAGCAGAGACTTGCTGCACGACACAAATTTAAACAACTGCCAACAAAAGTTAAGGAGAGAAAATACATTTGGGCCAATACATAGAAAATAATCATCTTGTTAATTAATCATTTGAAAATGCCAGTTCCAGAGCAATCTAATAAGTTTAGGCTGCATCCACAAATCATATAAGCGAATAATATGGAACACTGCATATGAAGTGAAAATGGCTTACAAGACAATGATATCTCATTTCTAAAACTCCAATCACATGATCATAGAATCAACCACATAAAATAATCCTACTCATATTGTCTGTGGTTGGTTTATGTGTCCCTGTACCTAAACCCACCTATGAATATATGTAAGGCCATCTCCAGCCCTTACTCAAAATTTTACTCAAATTTGAGTAAAAATTTGAATAAAAGGTTAATTTGATATGAATGGACAAACTCAGGTTTAAGCATAAATCTAAGTAAGGACTACACTAAAGCAAAGTGGTAAATTTTGGAGCCACAAAACAGCCTTCAAAATTTTGAGTAAGCTTGATTTGTCAAAATTTGAGTAAAACTCAATTTGGTATAAGTTTGGATCAAGGAGTGGAGGCTGTTTGAGTGACTTTTACCAAATTTTAAGTTTCATAATAGTTTGAGTCAGAGATGCCCTAAATATAAAATACCTGCAAGTATACATTTAAATTTAAAAATATAATATGTCAGCACATTCATGTCAAATAGAAGTAAAACAATAAATAAAAAAATAAAAATTGACTAAAACCCATAAAGAAGAAGATTTCTTTAAACTAACATCCAGTAAATGTAAAAATAAAGTCACCACTTAGAAGAAGAATTACAACCCTGACCACAAAGAAGTGAACTGATTGAGTGAGTGAAGTACTGAATATTAAAAATGAAAGAATGAATGAATTTCCCATATGGGATTTTCCTCAAACACCAGTTAACAAATCCATACAGCAACAGAAAGAGAAAACAATTATAAAAAAAACTACTTTTTATCAATGGAACTGTTTATTGCAATATGAACAACAAAAAAATCAAGTGGGATCAAAATCAAGAAAAAATTTTACTGTTATGTAAGAAAGAAAGATAGATACCTATGAGAAAGTAGGAAGTTTCCCATCTTGTATGGGTAGAGAAGAGGGTTATGGAGTGGATGCTCTTGCTCTTTCTCTTCTTGTCCTTGCCTTACTTGTTCCAATTCCATTTTTATTCACTGAAAAAGCTTGAAAAATGGAAGTTTGTGGATGAATGAATGAATGAATGATATCCCAAAAACCAAAGAGAGTGAAACTGGGATTTGTTAACAATACAAGAAAGAAGATTACAGGACAGGAGGCTCCAATATTGGACTGGGGGTAGCTGGGTGGGGGTATATGTAATAAGGGGATCTCATTCTTAATTTTTTTTTCTTATGAAATTTAAATTTGATAAAAAAATAAATTATTTTCAATTCATTCATTAAATATTTCATCAAATTAAAAAGATGAAGTATTAAAAATAATTTTTTCCATAAAATTTGAAGAGAGGAAAATTTAGTAAATTTGATAAAATTTGAAGTATCAAATAGTTTATATTAAATCAAGGTTTTTTTTGTCGAGGCCTTTGTGGCCGAGTTGTATATAGTCGTGCTTTAAGATGCAGTGATTGGAAAATTTAGGATTTGAGCTAATAGATTAGTATTCTTTTAAGTTGTAACCTAAGTGTCACAACCCAAACCCGCCCCTATGGGTTTAGCACCGTAACCGGCCAGTAATCCGTGATTACCGAAGGCCTACTTAACAGTAAAGACAGTAATACAGAGTACAGGGGCTGGCGAAAGCCAAAACAGTAATAAAAGATGTCCAATGAGCTGTGACCGTCTGTATGAAAAAAGACTTTTCCGAACACATTTACATTCATAAGTAAAACATATATACATACAACATATACAGACATTCAGGTTAGGGACCAAATTCCTACCATGACAGTATAATACAAGTCTTAACATTCTATACAAAACAGAAGCAGAAAGGGGGAATCTAAAACACCCCAAAGCAGCCTTAGCTTGAGTACACTTGGAACCTCGCAGTGAGGTACATTGGCTGGCTAGACAAAAAGGGAGTTTAACCCAACGCTCCTAACTCCGATCCGGTGCTTGGACACGTACACATATATATATAAACAGTGAGTTAAAGCCCAGTAAATAACAGTTATGTAAAGAGGTTAAGAATGAATGTCCTTTCAGTCAATAAGCAGTCATATCAGTCATTTAGAAATCATAGCAGTTATATGTGGTACATCCAATAGCAAAACAGTACAGTAGGTCTTAATAGACTGAACAGTCGGTTGATGGCCATCATAACAGTAAACAGTAGTGGTTCTAAACATGAGAACCGACACAGATCTCTGTAACAGTAGCAGTAACAGTACAGTAACAGTAAATTGCTATGGATGCCACGAATACAGTTCATAAATAGGACAAACATTCATTCAGTAAAAAATATCATTTCAGAAAGCAGTACAGTTGATCGTTCAGAAAATATTCATAATTGAACATATCTTTACAACATTGTTACTCACAGAGCACTGGGCTACAGAGAGGCTAGTGAGCATCCTCGGATGCCAACCCTACACAGTTACAGAATAAACACGCACTAAGTTACATACTTGAGAATCAATGACTTAGTTCCTATCTTGACTCGGTGTGATTCTACATCAATATCCTCATTAAGATGCCTTAAACATGGCCTAGGAATGCCTAGGATGGAATGAGGATGCAAAGATGCACTTTAAAACACTTTTCAAAATTTTCAGAAAACAAGGGTCTCGCTTGAGCGTGGCTTTCTATGCTCGAGCGGACATGCAGACAAAGGATCTCCGCTTGAGCGTGACTTCCTTCGCTCGAGCGGACTATAAACTCAAGCAAAAGTACTGAATGCACAAAAATCACGCTCGATGGGCGCTCGATCTACGCTCGAGCGTTAGACACAAGTCCTCGCTCGAATGTGCATTCCCTCACTTGAGTGGACTGTAAACATATGAAAAGTACTGAATACACGCATTTTACGCTCGAGCGTTACTTTCCCCGCTCGAGTGGGATGCATGTACTTAGAATGTAAGCTCGAGCCTGAAGTCTTACGCTCGAGCGTGGGTCCAAAATGTGGAATTTCCAGATTGAACTTCCAAGCTCAAATTCAACATTTAAAGCATCAAATTCGATTCTTTTGGGCCAATTTTCTGGAAAACACTTTAAAGCTCATAATATGACATGTTTTAAAGATCAATTTGCAAAATCAAAGCCCAAAGGTAGTTCAATTAAACACAAATCCAAACAAAACTTCATGAACATAATGTATATGTAACATGCAAGTGTTCAATTGAAATCAAAGCTTCAAATACTTGATCAAATGAGTCAATTCACTCAAAAACATGATGAATTCATGGACCATAGCTTGAATATAGACATGCATGTGAGGATTTCCATGAAATCAACCTCAAACTCAACAATGTGTACATGCATGCATGATTCAAGCTTCAATTCAACAATTTAAAACCAATTCTAGACTTAGATCACTAATGGTTCATGGACCATGCAAGATACAACTAGAATTCAAGTTCAAGAAGGTGATTCTCCTAACTTAGGTCTTCAATTTCAAGTCTAGGAGCTCAAATATACAATGAATTCCTCAAATCTTCTAAGTCTTCAAGCCAAGTTCTTGATGAGCTAAGTTTTCTCCTACTCTCTCGCTCTCTCTCCTACGGCTATGGCCAAGAAGATGGAGAATGATGCAACAAAATGATACAAATTCAAGTCTCAAGAGGTCTAATGAAGTGGCCCACTAATGTGGCAAAAAGGTAAATAATGCAACTAATGTAATTCAACAATATCAATCATTCCTAATCAACTTTTAATTAAATTTACCATAAAATCGCATAAATCCTAATCAGCACATAACACTAATGAATTTCTGATTCGGCCGCCGATAAGGCCTTCAATTTGCAGTTTAAAACATAAAACATGAACAGATCATTTAGCAGTCAAACAGATAGACTTGCATTTAAACTAATACACTTAATCAATCAGTTCCAAATTTCAGTCAGATCAGTTACTTAACATGCTTAACCACAGTTTAGCACTAATCAGTAGTATATCAGTAAACAGTGGCAAGGGTTGTCACACTAAGTTTAGTAACATACTAACATTCTATTTTTGATATAAAAAAAAATCAAGTTTTTTTATTTAAATTTTAAATTAAATAAATTGAGAATTGAGGAAGAGTTAAAAATGCTCCAATAAAGAGAGAGAGGCTCCAATCCAACAGAATTCGAGTCAAATTTTGCAAGTTGAGATCCTCTCCTTGGTCTCTCTCTTTGTCTCCCTACTTGCAACGGTGGAGATGCACCCCTAGGTGATCCAACGGTCTAGATCTAACTATTTCAAAAATTAAAAAAAAAAATTGAAATAGCCAGATTTGGATTGTTGGATCATCTTGGAGTGCATCTCCACCGTTACAAGTAGGGAGGCAAGAAGAGAAACCAAGGAGAGGATCTCAACTCACAATGACTGGGCAAGTTTTAGATTACAATAATGTTAAAATGATTAGTGTATTAATAATATATTAAGTAAATATAATCCTATATATTATTAAATAAAATTTAAATTAAGTGATCACATATCCGTCTAGAATTTAGTTTTATGTGTTAATTAGTACACTGATTAGAGTTTTTAGCATTATTGTTTTGATTTGAGACCTTAGGGCTAAATTTCTACTCTCTTGATAGTTTCCATTTTGACTTCATTTGGGATTTGAGAAGAAAAGGGAATCAATTTATTGAGCAAGAGAGTGAAAGCTTGGAAGTATAGTATACTGAGATGCTTTTGAGGGTGCTGGGACTTTTTCCTGTTAAGTCACTGTCTAGGGACTTGGAGAAATATCTTTAAAATTAAAGCCATGTTTGTTCAACTCTATTTTTTTTGTTGGTTTTGTTTAGCTTTATGAATGATAGGATTAGATTAACAATTCAGTAGACCTCATATTATTTAGTTGGCAAAAATAAGGTGGGATAAGAATCTAATGGGATTGCTACAATCCAATACGATGATATTAGAAGAGAAAATACCATCTTACCCCTACTTTACAAAAATAACAAAACCATCTTTCATAAAACCAGAGTACATAATTTCATAAAAATAACCTCAAGCAACAAATACCACTACAACAATACACAAATAAATACAATTTATCTTATAATTTATCTTTTCAAAGTCTTATGCTAGAACAAAATAATATCAACTACAACACGTAATGTCATCATCCAGAGACAAAATTAATCATAATATATAATTCTAACCAGAGAGAAAATTAATCATAGAATATAATTCTAACCATATTCATCAAACGTTATCTAAAACAAAATTAATCATAGAATATAATTCTAACCATATTCATCAAACGCTATCTAAAAAAAATCATATGCATCAAATAGTGAAGAAAATATTCCGGTATGGTCATTAATTTAACTTTACAAGTCAGGAAAATATTCAGTCCCTTGTTAATTTGAACAGTGTTTCAAGAAAATAGCCAAACAATTATTTAAAATCTTCAGCTAGGTTTCGTAATGGGTTATGCATCTAATGTCCTCAATAATAGAGAGACAGAGACAGACAGACACAGAGAGGCAGAGAGAGATTATGAGAAAAGAGAGCAAAGATAATACAAAACAAAAATAAGTTACAAGAAAATGCACAAAGTTGCACATTGCAAGACATCCCTTGAGGGATAACAGAGATTCAACAGGGAATGTCTTCGACACCATTGATAGGAAATGATTTCTTCATGCTAAATATATACAAAATTCACAGAACCTACCTAAATGGGAGGAAAAAAAGTCATATTAATTCATTCAATTGCTTTCGCTGAAGTCCGCGTCGATCACATCTCCATCTCCATCACCTGCACTACCAGTTGACCCAAACGGCGCAGCAGCATTACCATCAGGTGCAGGTCCAGAACCAGGAGGCCCCGACTGGCTATATAGAGACTGCCCTAGTTGCATGACTTCTTGGTTCAGTGAGGCCATTGCATCCTTAATGGTTTGAGTTGAACCCACTGAGATGGCATCCTTTAGTTCATTCAGTTTGGTCTCCACCTTCTCCTTGACCGGAGGAGGAACCTTGTCCTTAAGCTGCTTTTCAGTTTGGCAGACAACAGATTCCGCCTGATTTTTCGTGTCGATAGCATCTCTTTTTTCCTTATCTTCCTTTGCGAACTTTTCGGCCTCTTTAACCATCCTATCCGCCTCTTTAACCATCTTATTTATCCATATCTTATATATTATATTATAGCATAATTAAAAAAAATAAAAATAAAAACTAACAATCAGATAACCAAATAGATGAAATTAATAAATTTAATTTTTATTTATTTAGTTAAAATTCTTCTTTTACATATCAATAGCTAATTTTAAATTTAAAAAAATTTTAAAATTTATCTAAACAAATTTAATTTGAAAATATTTCTCACTATCATATTTTAAATTAATAAAACCCACACGTCTATCACATATCTAACTCACATCATAACTTATCTAAATAATAATAATTAAAAACAAATAGAAACATAGATAAATTAAATTGGAAAAAAAAAAAAGAAACCCACAACTCTATCTTAAATAAATTGGAAAAAAAAAAAACCAAATAGAAACCACACAAATTTTTAAAGAGATGAAATGTTGAAAATTGTTATTTTTTTCATCGAATTTGGTGAAAAGAAAAAAAAAATTGGGATAAGAATGAAATTCTTTTAAAAATTGATAAAAATTTAATGAAAAAGTCAAAGTAATTCATATAAAATAGAAAATTTTATTCAAATTTAAAATCAAATTAGATTAAAAAATTAAAAGAAAATGATGAAAGTTTGACAATATTTTGAAACCTTCTTATTATTAAATATTAGAAATCTATGTGTGTATTATATTCATAATGTATTTTTAGTTCTGAAATTGAAATTAAAATAAATGTAACTTAAATTATTATATTAATAATAGAAACATCATATTAATTATTATTAAATATCACTTCACTTTACATTTAATAATAAATTTGTATATTTTTATAACAAGAAGAGGTATATCATAACTCACTCAATCTCATTTAATCAGATTTAACTTTTTTTTAATACAAATTATCAAAATTGCACTAATTAGACTTATATATATATATTTTTTAATTTTTGAAAACTAATAATTTAAAAAGTTATAACCATAAAAGTTAACTTATAAATTTTAAATTTGTTTTTTTATATTTTATTTTATACTAGTAGTAATACCACAAGACAAAATATTAAATTATTTCAATATAATTATAATAATTTTTTTTTTAATTTATAAAATCCCTGGGCATAGAACGGGTTACTACTAGTACATTATATAAGGAAAAATGGATTTTTAATTTATAAGTTTTGTGAACGCTCCAATATCTCAATCTTAATTCTTTAATTTTTTGATTTAAAAAAAAATAATTCAGCACTTATTGACTTCTCTCAAGCCTTTTTGACTTCCTATACACACCATTTTCAACTTCTCCCACACATATTTAATTATTTTAGAAATAATAATTATTTCTAGAGCTCCAATATCTCAATCTTAATTTCTTAATTTTTTAATTTTTTTTTTTAAAAACTTTTCACATTTTGACTTCTCTCAAGCCTTTTTTAACTTCCCACACACACTATTTTCAACTTCTCCCATACCTATTTAATTATTTTAGAAATAATAATTATTTCCTAATTTTTTGATTTTTTTTTTTTAAAAACCAACACTTATTAACTTCTCTCAAGCCTTTTTGACTTCCCATACACACCATTTTAACTTCTCCCCATACCTATTTAATTATTTTAGAAAGAATAATTACTAGCATATCGCATGTGCTATGCATGAGTTGTGTTTTACCACTTTTTCTTTTTTTTTAAATGTCTTTTTTTTAATTATATTATATTAAAGTTTAATATTTTGATAATAATCATATGTGTTGAACTTTTTAAGATTTTTTTAGAATAATGCTATATGTACCAATTAATATACACATTAATGTATTAATAAATGATGTGGCATCATTTGTATGATTTTAGGTATTTGTAACTTGTATAATAAATGTGTTTAATAATAATATCATAACGCTAGTTGTTACACTAATGTGTATATTAATTGGTGCATGTAGCACCACTGAATTTTTTTTATGCTTGTTCTTAACACATTAAAGTGTTATTATGAGGAATAATAATTTTATGTGTTGAAATTTTCAAGGAATTCATATGTACTTCACAATTATTTCTATATATATGAATTGTGATTTTTAAATGCTTTTTTTTTTTTATAAAAAAAAATGTATTTTTTTTCTTTTTTTTTATATTATATTAAAGTTTAATATTTTAATAATAATTATATGTGTTAGACTTTTCAAGAAATTTTTTTATGCTTGTTCTTAATGCATTAAAGTGTTATTATGAGAACTAATAATCATATGTATTGAGACTTTTTAAGGAATTCATATGTGTTGGACTTTTCAAAGAAATTTTTTTTATACTTGTTCTTAATGTATTAAAGTGTTATTATGAGGGTAAGACTTGAGGTTGGGAGAAGTTAATAAATGCTCAGACTTTTTTTTTAAATAAAAAAATTAGGAAATTTAGATTGGGATATTGGAGCTCCGACAAGGCAACACATTAAACTGTTATTATGAGAGATAATAATCATATGTGTTGGACTTTTCAAAAATTCATACGTACTTCGCAATTATTTCTATATATGTGAATTGTGATTTCAATTTTTTTTTTTAAATGTCTTCTTTTTTCTTTTTTATATTATATTAAAGTTTAATATTTTAATAATAATCATATATTGGACTTTTCAAGAAATTCATATCTGTTGAACTTTTCAAGGAATTTTTTTTATACTTGTTCTTAATGTATTAAAGTGTTATTATGAGGGATAATAATCACATGTGTTGGGACTTTCAAAGAATTCATATGTGTTGGACTTTTCAAGAAAAATTTTTTCTGCTTGTTCTTAATGCATTAAAATGTTATTATGAGGGTAATACTTAGGGGTTGGGAGAAGTTAATAAATGCTTAATTTTTTTAAAAAAATCAAAAAAGTAAGAAATTTAGATTGGGAGATTGGAGCTCCCACAAAGCTTAGGGTTAAAAACTCCCTTTTGCTTAATATATATTATAGATAATAATAACAACAACATTAATTATTAAAAATAGCCTTTAAATTATATAAGTTGGCCTCCTATTAGAGAGGCATATTTTCACCGTATAATTTGGTGAATCATCAACCTATACTATAATAATATCTTCCAACCTAAACTATCTCAATATAAACAATTAATTTTTTTCTTCTTTTTTCGATATGAGATTGTTAAATAAAAGTTAGTCAATGAAGATTTTTTAATCATTTAAAATTAAGAAAATCAAAAAAATTAATATGAAATATTGAAACTCTCACAAGGCTCCTCATTAAATAGGATGGGAGTATACGATTCTCTTTATATGAGTAAAAAAATTCATTTTTTTTCTTTTTTTTCCCAATGTAAGATTATCAAATAAAAATAATTATTTAAAATTAAAAAAATTAGAATAAAAATTTGAAACTTTCTTACTAAAAAGTCCTTTTTTCCTTATATAATAGATGGGGCATTATCTTAGTGTAACAACAATTCTAGTGAAAATTTTGAATTTGTGATATGTCTAGTTGTGATTGAGAAGGACCGATTCATCCAAAACTGCTTTATCTACTTAAAAAAAAATAAGTTGTTATATTTAAGTTAAGAATGAATTGAAATTATCTTTAAAAAATAAATAAAAAGTATCATTGGAATAATTTTATGAAAGGAGTTGCTTTGAGAATGTTAAATTAAAGATCAAATTCTCAAATCCAAACCCAAATTAGAGAGAGGGGGAGACCTTACTAATTTTTTTTTTCAAGGTGTCCTTACCAATATTTGACTAAACAAATAGTTTGATCCCCACAAATCTCTAGTCCAGACTTCTAGAAAGAAATATGGAGAACCAGAGTTCGGATCCTCGGTCACACTTTCTTGCATCGTCTCTTTGCCGCCCTTTGGAGGTTTTTTTTTTCTTTTCTTTTCTTCTTCTTTCTTATTTTGCTTTTCTCTTCTCATTTTTGAACCCTCGCCTCTGAGGCAGAGAGGCAGATATAGACAAGAGAGCCTCTCAAACCAAAACACTCACAACCCTCACTATCAACCACCGTCACATCCCTTTTCGATGCCGAAATTTTACGGTGCTCTATTTTTTGTGGTGGTTTTTGGAATGTGAAACTTTAGTTGAGAATGGCATGATTTCGATTGTCTTTTGGATATTTGATAACAAGAAATAGTTTGCCTCTACCTATTTGTTCATGGCATATCAAAGTATCAGTATTAATGGACAACAAAAGCAAATCCCTCATCCTAAGATACACATACGGATCTCATTGAGATCCAAAGGAGAAATTTAATATTGGCAGCAGGATGAGAGATATGGGTTTTACTGAGGAAAGGGTTGGAGAAGAGGTGTTGCTACGGGAAAAAGAGGAGGGGAGTTGTTAGAAGAGGTGGGGGTTCCATAGTTCAGATGAGGAGGAAGAGAAGGTAAGCGAGAGAAATAGGGCAAAGAGAGATTTTTATTTACTATTTTAATGGTTTTTTTTTCAATTATTTTTTTTATTATGAGAAAAATGTTATTGTAGTTAGATAGCATTAAAAAAATTGTGATTTGTATGATTGAAGTTATCTCCTTTTGTTTATAATTTTATTTTTTAATATGATTGAAGTTAGATAAACATAAACACTCACAAAAAGAAAAATGTGATTGTAGTTTGTTCAATAGTTCTAAATAATCTTTTTATTTACTATTTTAATGGTTATTTTTTCAATTATTTTTTTTATTATGAGAAAAATGTCATTGTATTTAGATAGTATTAAAAAAATTGTGATTTGTATTATTGAAGTTATCTTCTTTTGTTTATAATTTGATTTTTAATGTGATTGAAGTTAACTCACAAAAAGAAAAATGTGATTGTAGTTTGTTCAACGGCTCTAAATAATATTTTTATTTACTATTTTAATGGTTCTTTTTTGTAATTATTATTTTTTTATTATGAGAAAAATATGATTGTAGTTAGATAGCATTAAAAAAAATTGTGATTTGTATGATTGAAGTTATCTCCTTTTGTTTATAATTTGATTTTTTTTAATATGATTGAAGTTAGATAAACATAAACACTCACAAAAAGAAAAAAAAATG